AGCTGCCTGAGGATCTCTAGGTCCACAGACCTTTCTTTTTCTGGGACCCGCTGCAGTCCTGCTGGATGTCCTGGCCAGGGAAGGAACACAGCAGTGGTACAGCCAAGGTCTCATGTACTTCTCCACTTATAGGTCTGAGGGAGAGAAAGAAAAGCAGTCCCCTCATCATGGTAGAAGGGCTTTGAGGACTGGAGTACAAGTAGGAGAAAGTGTCACTCAACATGCAGTTCCTCCAGGGTGTCATTATAATAACACTTTGGCACTAGGAATTCAGGAATCCTTGGTTCCCTGCCAGCACCGCTAAACCCCATTTCCTTATCCATAAGGGAGTGGCCTCCTTTCCTCACAAGGTTGTTGGTAGGCCTGGCTGATATGCATCTTACCCGCAAGGCCTTCGCCAGCCAAGGCTGTTAGATGCAAGGCTGCTGGGGAAAGGCTGGGTTTGGCTTGGAGTGCCCCCTGGAGGGGAGAGGTCTGAATGGCAGCCCGTGGACGTCCTTGATACTGTGAAGAAACTTTCCAGACAGTGGACAGTGTAAATTGATTCACAGGACTTATGTGCTTAGGGAGTTTTCCTTTACAATTGTTGTGACAATGTCACCAACTGAAGTGGTTAACACGTGGAAATATTATTTATGTGAATGCAAAGTAAGCCAGGTGCCTAGCTGTTCCATGGGATTTTGAGGAACTACCTCCAAAATGCATGGAAGAGTGTTTTGAAGGAGTTAACAGTTGCCTAAGCGTGAGGAATTGAAAATGTCCTAATTGGACAGGATGAGCAGTGTACACAGAGCAGTTGATTAGAAGCTCGAACACCTGCGTGGAGGCTGGTCCACATCGGGCTGTTCCTCTCCCAGGGAGGTGGGAGGCATTTTCAGCTCCTGCCAGTGGTCTGTGGTCACATCTGTAGGCTTGTTGGGTAGATGATTGTGATGGTTAATGTGAATCGTCAACGTGATTGGACTAAGAGATGCCCAAGGTTAAGAGCTTCTGGCTGTGGACAGAACAAAGGGTGGAGGAACAAGGCAGTGGCAGCAGACGCCAGCTCCAGTCTCTGGAGTGGGTGCTGACTGCTGCTGTGGTCACCTGAGGACCTGAGTCAGACTCTAGCTCCTTCCCTCTTCCAGAGCAGACCGTGCAGGGCGACTCTCTAGGGAGTTCCAGGGCCTCTACCTGGGACTGGGGGTCGTTGCTCCTTCTTGTTCTGAGGCTCCAGCTTCTTGGACCGACCAGCTCTTGGTTCCTCCGGCTCCCCCGCCTGCAGACGGCCATCGTGGGACTCCCAGCTTCTGGTTGTGAGTCCACTTAATAACCCCCCTTAAAGTCACACCTGCATATTCCCCCTGTTGACTCTGGCCTCTAGAGAACCCTAATACAATGACGCCCAAGGGGAGAGTGGGCTGTGCTTGAGCCCCAATCCCCATGTACACATGCTGGGCCGTGAAACCAGTGTCTCTGCAGAAACAGCATCGGGGGCTCTGCATACCACAGGTCCACGCGTGGGACCACAGAGTGGCTGCTAAATGCTCTGGCCAGGGCATTGCTGTGAAGTAGCAATTGCTTTCTCCTTGGCTGCTGCTGAGCCCCGACATGGCTGGAGGTCGGCTCTCCCTATTTGGCACTCTGTTTGTTTAAAGGGAGAAAACCCTTGCTCAAGGAATTGGGATCAGTTTCCATTTTCTTATTATTTTCCTGTTGATTTTCATTGTGATCAGTTAAGTGCCTGGGTTTACGTGCTCAAGTTGAGTTCAGTGCCTGCCTGCTAAGTTCTTAAACAGCAGGACAAACAAAAACAAACACGACAGGCACACAAGGGACGGATCGCAGTTCCCTGTGAGGGTCTCTGGTGATGCCCAGGAAGGGACGGCGCATGGGTGGAGAGGAGTGGGAGCGGCTGGCACCATGGCAGGCGTTCAGGTGACGCAGGCTGGTGCAGACACAGGATGGGACATGGGGGCGCTCAGATTCTGTGGTGGGTGGGGAATGAAGGGAAGGTGGGAGGTGAGGGTGGAGGAGGTGGCCCAGAGCACATCAGGGTCTGTGAGGGGATCATACCTCTTCCTGGGAGGAATCAGGAACAGGCCACGAGGGACTGCAGGCATCGAGATGGCCAAGCTGGGGTGCAGGCCGCTGTTCTCACCCCCATAACCTGGCTATGGAGCCAGTGGGCAATGTGTGATTTCACATGTGGAAGGCTCTTGAGAAGGGCCGAATGTGACCTTTCAGTGGCCTGAGGGAGTGGGGGAGGAAGCGACAGCAGCCTCCACCTACCTTGCTGTCTCTGTGGATGTGAGGACCTGGGGGGCAGGGTCCCTGCAGCTGGGCAGGGGAAGCTGGTGGCTGCTCCGAAAAGGAGAGAGAACTCACACTGTCCTGTAGGGTCCCAGGACGTCAGCCCAAAGGACCCTGGTGCCACTTGCAGTCCCATCTCATGACCAGGGTTTGCCTGTCCACCCCCTCCCCGACAAGAAGCCCTTCTGCCTGGGTTCCTGTCCCTTGGCACACATCATGGGGCCTGGAGGAGGGGCCCAGATGGTGACTCAGCAGACCTGTGGCTGCTTCCTTCTCTGCACTCCGTGCTCCATGCCTCTTCCCCTCTGCCATCTCCTCGGCCACCGTCTCTCCTCTTGTCTTCCCCTGCTGCCCCGCAGGCCCTGTGAGGGCAGCTTGTTGGCCAGGGAGGGACTGACATGGTCGGGAGACACAAGTCCGTTCGCAGGAGCTGGCTTCTCCTTGGAAGCGGAATCTCCCTTTTTGTATCCATGAGAAATTTCCAGAAAGAGAATTGGAACCCACGGGGTTTTTCCTTTTCTGTCCCAGGCCAAGGTGCCACCTTGGCGGTGAACAGCTGTCCCTCTTCCTTCGTCACTGTGCTTGCCTGTGGTCAGAGGCTGCTTCTGCTGCTGCCTACCTGGCCTGGCTGGCAGGTCTGTCCCCAGGCTGGGTGCCACTGTGGGTTTGCCCTCAGGCCCCACAGCCTGGCCTACAGAGACCTGCCCTGTGGGCTTCTTGTTTCTCCATGGTCACGTCTGGCTTGAAGTCAGGCTGGCATCTGGAGAGCTTCCCGTTCACCTGAGTTTTATGCCCTGCTTTGTGGATGGGCTCCTAATGCATCCTGGGGTGGAATCTTCTGGCTGCCCCTGGACCTTCCTACTCTGCTCTGCCTGTTGGAGAGAGAAGGAGAGGTCCAGTTGCCAATGAGTCCTGTGTGCTCCGTGTGGCCAACGCCGACCGCCCTGTCAGGTTGAGCTGTACCTGCCTCCCCTTTCCGCTGGCGTCCGAATCCTCCTTGGCCACTGTGTCTTTCCTTCCCTATGGCCCTTGTCACCCTCCGCCATCCAGCATGCTGAAGTTCACGCTCTGTCCACTTACGGAGTGGAGTACATGCTCCCTGGTGGTGTGGGTCTGCTTTCGTTCGTGGATGTCTCCTGCCTGCGTAGAGTGGTGTCTGGCACTCATGTAGTGTGTGCATAAATGAAGGACAGGTACTCAGGATTCATACGAGTACCAATTAACCAAAAGAAAATGCTCAGTGGACTCAGGAGGTGGGATTCTGGGGTGAGAGCAACTCTCTATGAGATGCGAGAGAAGCACCAATGAGGAGTTTTCTGGTGCCTTCCGTAGAGGTTGATGTCGCTCTCATGGGACTCGGATAGTTCCCCTGAGAGCACAGGTCACAGAAGAGCTGGCCTGGCTCTGGCTCTCTGCCTCCCTGTGGTGTCCAGTGATCCATGCCATCCCTCTGTACCCGCCATTCTGATGCCATCTGCCATGAGGCACTCACAGGGGCCAGATTGTTGGTGCTGCTGAATTTGGACTTTCAGCCTCCAAAACTGAGCGGAAGAAACCTCTTTCTTTTATAAGTCACAAAACTAGGCATTTCGCTACAGCAACAGAACGTGGACCAAGCTCCCGTTCCTTCCTGGCTCTCTCCACCTCCTGACCATGACACAGGGCATCCTTGGGGCTGGTCTGCTGTGTCCTATGGCTACACTCTCTTCCTGTTCAATTTCATTCCTGTCTCTGTCTCCGTGTATCCTTTCTCACCCACTGAGGACACCAATTCCATGCCCCTGGCTGCTCCTGAGTGGCCTCATACCTCTTGTGCTGCGTTTGTCCAAGACTGTGCAGCTTGCAGGGCAGTCTCCACCAGCCTCCCGGGGCTGCCCTGCCGCTGTCCTCCCGTCCTCCTCATCTCCACCCCACCCTCAGGCTCCCTTAGCTCCTACACTCTGGAGCTGCTCGCTTCTCCCTCCTGCGGGCTACACCGGCCCATCCCAGGGGTAGTGACCTTTCCCTGGGTGACCCAAGTAGAACTTCCACTTGTCTCCCTCATCCTGTCATGCACGCCCCAGGCCATTCTGCACCCAGAGCCAGAGCAGTCTTCAGAACTCTCATATCTGATGGTGTGTGCAGTGAGTCCCCTTGCTGGAGGTCGAGGTGACATCTTTAATGGAGAAGGCCACTGCCAGCCACCATCCCCTACTCTCTCTGACTGACTCCTCAGTGCCCAGGAGCAGAGTCCCTGTGCCCAGGGCTTCTGAAGATGCCTCGCTCTGCTTGGAGGCTCCTCTTGCCTGCGTCACCTGGGTAGCGCCCACACATTTCACCTCCCCAGGAAAGCCTCCCGGGCTGCCCGCCTTGGACGCCCTGCAGCAGCTGCACTGCCTCATGTTTCATTATGGTGCTTTCTACTCTGGCCACTTGCTCACTGTCTGCATCCTCTACTGTCCTGGAAGCTGAGTGGGATGTCATGCTGCTCTGCCCACGGGGCTGGCACATAGTCGGCTTTCAATAAACATTTGGTGGATGAACAGGAGCTCTGCTGAGGGTGGAGCTGGGCTTCCCTCGATTCTTGGCATGGTCTCCAGATGGCTGTGCAGCTGGTTTGCTTTCTCCTCTGGGATTCTCTGTGCCCTCGAGGCCCTGCCAGAGGTCTGCTAGACTCTGCCCCTGCCCCTGCCAGAGCGTCACGCTCCACCCCTGCCACTTCTCACTACCAGCCAGGGGCTGTTGGGCAGGGGCCTCTGTCCTCTGCTTTTCTGCCCACCCTTCTCTCTCCCTGGAGTCCGACACCACGTCTCCCCGCTGCCCTGCCTGACGTTCCAGCAGCACCAGCGACGGCTGATTTTCCAGGACTTGAGAGGGAAGCCATTCGCTGGCATTAGCAGAGACACCTGGGGAACAAGGGACCAAGGAGCCAGACCTGCAGCTGGCCTGCACTGTGGAATGCCTTCAGGTGTCCTACTGTCCTTGAGACCGAGGTCTTCACATGCTTCACACAGGTGGGGTGACTGGAGCATGACCTAACCTCTGAGTTCTCTTTCTCCATGAGGACGCAAGGGGGCTGGGTAGGTTCTACCGATTGCCGTCTCCAGATCCTCCGTCTCCAGCTCCTTCATCTCCATGCTCATCCCAGGACTGTGTTCTGAGAGGCCAACTTCAGCTTTGCAAATCAGAAAGGAAGTCCCTGGGCCGGAGAAGCAGGAGGCACTTTTCTCTGTCCTTTCCCTATACACACTTTCTTCCCCTCCTCTTATCCCCCTGAAGCCACCCCTTCCTTCCACTCCCAGCCCCCCACCTCCAGATTTCTTTAAAAGTCAAACACAAAGAAAATTGTCAGGAGGGAGATTAGGTATAAGACCTTTTTATTAGTCCTATCTTCCAATTTCCTGTGGATTTGAACTTCTCTCTTTCTTTCATGTGGGATTTAATACCCTGTGATATATATGAGAATGTGCCAGGAAATGGAATTTCCATCCCCATTCCGCCATGCCTTGGGCAAAGGGCCCAAACCCTCTCCCTTGCTCTCTTCCTGGCTGTAACAGGACCCGTCCTGCAGCCCATAGGGTTTAGCTGTAGCATCTCATAAGAAAATGGCACCAGAGAGCTCTACCCAGTACAAAGTGTAAATAAGTGCATGTGGGTATGATTTTTAAATCTCCACCATAGGCAGGCTGTGGACTGCAGGCAAAATCTCTGCAAGGAGCCCAGAAATGAGCCAGATGATCCTTCTGACACCTGTGCTCTACTTTGGTGTCCCCCGGCTCTCTATGCAGCTACTGCACAGCAGGCTCCTGCCTCAGTCGCGTTGCCTCTGGGAGGAGGACAGGGCAGCTCTGCCTCACACCAGCCTGAGGGCGGACACCAGCCTCCAAGCGGGACATGAAGGGCGGGTGCTATAGGATTTGCATGAAGTTTTTCTTCCTTTCTCTTCAAGACAGACTAGAACAGATTACAGGGTCCACTAGAAAGAGCGAGGAGAATGCCCAGTTTCTGGAATCTTCTTCCTGAGGGATGGGTCTGTCTCTGGGGGGGTTGCCATGCCAATGAATTCTTTTCCTAAGTTTCAGGTGTGGCTCTAAATAGGATACCACTGATTTTTAAAAAATGTACCTTTCAGAACGGTGTAATCCTGTTTGGAGTGGTCACACTTGGAGATTTTATATACTTGCTCCCATTATTACTCAAAATTCTGTGAAGGGGCTCCGAAGGTGAATATCCTCAGTGGTGGCAAATCTTCCTGCAGTAAGATTTGGTTTGAGCACATCCACATGCTTGTCAGCATTTGGACCAAGGCAGGTGATGAAGCCCTCGCGAGTCTTTCTGCCTGGGGTCTAGAAGGCAGTTGCCCATATTCCCCAAGAAAAGCCAGGAGATGAAGCAGTGCCTGGGACATTGGGGCTGCGCATCTTCTGGGGAACTTTTAAGCAGGATCTTCCTAATTATTAGGAGACCTCTCGGTTATCCGTATGATGGTGAGTTTGCTTTGACAAACGTGGATGAAATAGAGACCAGTGATGGTACAGTTCCCAGCAAGCCCTGACTGAGGCTCAGTTCCCTGTGTGTCAGAAAACCGTTCAGACCCAGTGAGCCGACCATGCTGTGCCTCAGTTTCCTCACCTAAACCCAGAATAATAGACCCACCTCACATAGCTGTTGCCAAGGTCGAAGGAGACTTTTTTTTTGGAGGGTGCTGGGGATTGAAATCAGGCATTCAGCCACTGAGCCACATCCCCAGCCCTACTTTGTATTTTATTTAGAGTCAAGGTCTCACTGAGTTGCTTGGTACCTCACTAAATTGCTGAGGCTGGCTTTGAACTCTCGATCCTCCTGCCTCAGCCTCCCCTGAGCTGTTGGGATTACAGGCGTGTGCTACTGCGTCCTGCCCAAGGAGTCTATTAGACAAATGCTAATGTTGATGAAGAATGTTGTGAGTGAAAGTTGCAAGTCTCAGTGGATGTGGATATGTTCCACTCCTCCCTGATCTGAGCACACAGTATGTCGTGCAATGCCATGGCATGGGATCCCTGAAGTGTCCTTCTAGTTCCTTCGTGATGCAAGAGATCCAAGGAGCTGTTTCCTCAGATAACAGCTCAGATGACTGGAGACCTGAGCTGCGGAGCACGGGTCTGGAGATGGGTTCATGGTAGGGCAGGTCCCTGGCCACAGTTCCCAACCATCCGCCGCTCTGTGGGTAGGTAGGCTGTCTCTCCCCTGCAGGTGGAGAACCCAGTCATCTTTAGCTCTGGGGCCTATACCACTGGTGGCCGGTAGGTGGCATCAGTTGCACACCACCCCCACTGGCTTTGCTGCTAGGAACTTCTCAAAAGGGAAAGATCTATTTCTAATCCAGCAGGGGCTTTATGGCAATGCTTAATCACATGGCAAGGAGCACGCAATAACTACTGGTATTTCTGTAAACACGCATGCTAAGAAGCAGCTGCCAGTCGGGGATGAGGACAGAGGAGGCTCATCGAGGTCTCCTGAGGACAACCTATATAAGGAAAGCCCTTCGGGTTTTTAAATCCAAGAGCTTTTTAACCTTTGTGACTCATTGAAAGCAACGTTGAGAACCCGGAAGGACGGGGAACATACACTTTATGGATAGCAACCTGGTTCCAGGCCCACCCTGTCTCTCTCCCCTTCCCCTGAACATCAGATTTTGTAAGGAGCCTCACTGGGCCTGCCTTCCACCCCCACCTCCTGCCCCAGGGTAGGGGTGCAGCCAAGAGTGCACCCCCACCAACCTTTGCTTATTTTCTTAATTTTTTTTTGTCCTGGCAAGTTGCCTGAGTTTGTCCTTTCTCTGGAGGAAAGTTTATTTGAATCTCATTCTACCATTAATAAAATTGGCACCAGATGGCTATGAAGCCACAGAAGAGATGCTTCACTGCAAAACAGAAGTTCAGTCTGCCAGCCACAGGGTGGTGAGGAGTTTAATGTATGTGGACACTTTTATTAAAAAAATAATCACGGTTAAATATGCAGATCACAAAACTGGCCATTTCTAAGGGTAGAGGTCAGTGGCATTAGGTACACTCACATTATTGTGCAGACACCAGAACAGTTTTCATGTCAAAACGCAAGCTCTGTATCCATGGTGTGACTTCCCATTCTCCAATCCACTAGCAACCACCACTCTAGTTTCTATGAATTCCAGTCCTCAAGTTTCACGTATAAATGGTATCATACAATCCATGTGTTTTTGTGACTGGGCTATTTAGTTTAGCACAATGGCCTAAGGTTCAGTCATGTTAAAGACTGTTTCAGAATTTCCTTTTTTCCCCGTTAAATAATATTCCATTGTTTGTGATGCTTTAATTTTGTGTCAGCTTCACGGGGCTCAAAGTTGCCCAGATAGCTGGTAAAATATTATTTCTGGGTGTGCCCATGATAATGTTTCTGGAAGAAATCAGCATTTGAATCAGTGGACTCAGGAAAGAAGACTTGCCTTCACCAACATGGGCGGGTATCACCCACTGCTATAAGGGCCCACATAATTCAAAACAGGGGGAAGAAGGGTAGATTCTCTTTCTTCTTGAGCTGGGGAGTCCATCTTCTGCCCACCTAGGGCATTGGTGCTTGAGGTTTTCAGGCTCCTGGATACAAGCCCGCCTGCCCCGCCCTGCCTCCAGGTTCTCAGGCCATCTTCTTAGTGGGAGCTACATGGACTCATGGGAATTTCCTGGCCACTGTTTTGAACAGTACGTGGCTTCTTTGTAACCACAGTTTCCCTAATCCTGGTCTGTTGGCAGCTGACTCAAGCTCAGCTGGGGCAGGAGATTTAGAAAGCAGCCTAATTGTATCTGCAGGTGTGGGACTGAGGAAAGCCGGGAGGCATAATACCCACTCTGCTTGCCACAGCAGAGGGAGCCCAGGCTAAATGGACCTCTGTGACTTGCAAGCTCTGGCCCCTGCACATCCTGTTCCCAGCTGAAGTCTTTCCCCTTGCAACAGTGCTTACCCTGTTAGTTAACCAAGAGCAGGACAGAGGGGCCAGATAACATGGATTTCAGTGAAGGACACAGATTGTGGGAGGAGGGAGGAGCAGATATTGGGGCCAGGTGGTGGGCAAGGAGCCCTGGGAAATACAAAGGTTTTACATTCTTTGCTGATTCAGGCATTAACCTTCTTTTTTTCTGTAAATTCACTGGAGTTTGGTTGCAAAGGCCCAGCACCTTCTTGTGGCTTTCAAAACTGGGCATGTGGGCAGTGCTGGCAGAGACTGAGGGCCGTGGCTGGACATGCCCCTGCAGCCCTTCCATGCCTGGCGGCTGCACCCTTTAATCTGGGGGCCACTGTGGTATTGTTGGTATTATTCAGGGTTTTGACTTCAAGAGAACCTGTGAGGCTTTCTTTGCTATTTCACAGAAATTGGTACCAACAGCTGGTGAAAAGTGGGAGTACTAGTTCTCCCATGTTTGCCCAATACCTTCCAGTGAGCGGGGTACTGGGCAGAGAGTGCGGTCAGTTTGCTGGTCTGCAGACACCCACATGGGCGCCTCTCACTCTTGCTCAAGAATTTTCCCAGGCTCTATGCATGTGTGCAATTCGTAAGAATAACAAATCCAACATGGTTGTTTGTCCCCTAAGTAAGAAGCTTCGTAGTTTGTTTTCTAGTGGGAAAGAAAAGAGGATTTGAGTTCTTTAGAACTTGGCCAAACCTATGGATGTGTCTTAGCACTGACATTTGCTAAACAACTATCACTTCGTCTCTGGGAGAATTGGTCTCAGGACCCTTATATAAAATGGCATAGTATTCACACATCTTCCCACAGACTTTAAATCACTTCTAAATGACTTATGATACCTAATATAATGTAAAAAACGATAGAAGTAGTTATTATACTAAAATTTTAAATTTATATTATTTTTATTGTTGTATTTTAAAAAAAATTTTTTTTAGATTTTTTTTGTAGTGGTAGATGGACACCATGCCTTTATTTTGTTTATTTTCATATGCGGTGCTAAGGATCAAACCCAGAGCCTCACACATGCTAGGCGAGCGCTCCGCCACTGAGCCATAACTCCAGCCCTTGTTGTATTTTTTTTAAATTTATTTTTTAATATTTTCTGTCCAAGGTTGGTTGACTCTTGAGGCTGTAAAACCTGCAGATATGGAGGG